CATTAAGTAGTATAAAAAAATTACGTTTAACTAAAGAATTTAATTCTTTATCCATAGATGAACAAAATGAAGAGAATGAATTACGTTATAAACAATTAAATAAATTATATGAATTAATTCAATCAGATCCAGGGCGTTATGGACAATTATCCATTGAAAATATCATTGAACAAATGAATCATTTTTATTTATAAAAACAATGTAAGTGTGATTGAATCTTGAATGAATGCAAATGTTGACGAGAACAAAGGAAGAGACGCAATAGAACAAAACAAATAAACAAAACATCCTATTGACTCTATTCATTAGAATGTAGTTTCAACCCTATTCATTTCACATAACTGGATTGTTACTAACGAATAAAGAATGTAGACAAAAGTATATATACACATTCCAATGTATTGTGTTTATTCTTTTGGTTAAAACAATAATGGGCAATGTGAAAATACGAAATTCTAATTAATTTCGTTTTTTATAAGAAAAGGGTTTTGTGGATATTGTAGTTTGAATGTTGCGAGATGGGTTCATGGATGTGCACTGTTGAGGAGTACCACAATAGGATGAAACGACCGTACAGTGTTTCCAGGTTTTTCATAATAATCTAACTTCAACTGACTCATGATCACAACTATTATAATTTTTGTTAATTTGAAGATAATTGAAATTAATAAAGTAGTTAGTAAAAACTAGATACTGCTTAACGGTTATTTTATTCCAATATTAGGGTTTTTCGATTGAGATCATGAACCGATCATTGTCATACCATCATTGAAAACCTAGGAGCATTGGACAGTTGTTTGGATGCCGGCTTAGTGGTTTAGAGTTGAAGCATTCGCGAGCAAGATCAAAAGTCTTCAATCTGAATACTGTGTGCGTGATCGTGGATAAGCACTGTTAGGGAGTCCCATACTAGGACGAAATGTACATCCAATGGTTCCAGGTTTTCAACGATGGCCTAAAATTGATCGATTCATGATTACAGTTTGTGATTTTCTCGAGGTAATATTCAAGAATAAAATTAAGATCAGTATTTCTTCGTGTACATGGGAATATTAAGACATATATTCATGGTGTATAGATGTCAACAGACAAAAACACAAAGTTCAAACGTGAGTATCAATAGTAAGAAGAAGAGAAGATAATTCTTGGAAATTTTTAGTAACCTAATTTTTTTTAACAACCTAGTACCTATTCAAATTCAATAAATCAATAGATAACACTTTGTAGATAAGCATTTTATTCGCGTTTCAATGTGACTATCCAGAAGATAAAAAGTGTTTATTGACAGTTGTTTATGCAAAATACTTCGGATTCGTTGACCAGACATAGACACTATCAACAACAACCTATTATGGGAGAGAACAAACCACATTCCAGCGAAGGAAGAAATCAAGAAGAAGTGGTGGAAGTGGATAGGACACACATTGAGGATATCACCCAACTGCGTCACAAGACAAGTCCTCACATGGAATCCTCAAGGCCAAAATAGAAGAGGAAGATCAAAGAACACATTACATCGAGAAATGTAGACAAATATGATAAGAATGAACAACAATTGAATAGAACTGGAAAGGAAGGCACAGGACAGAGTGGGTTGAGGAATGCTAGTAATATATAACAATATAACAATAGTCAAGAATAGGATGTATTTGAGTAGAAGATCGAGAATGGAAAGTAATTGGTATGAAAATGCACGAACAATGAAATCTGAGATGATGGAATGATATTTGCAAAAGAAACAGTTAATTTTTGAAATAATGGATTGATATTTTGCAAATCAACTATTTCAAAAGTTGAAATCATTAGTCAGTTGAAGCTAGACCACCATGGAAAACCTGGAAGCTTCAATTGACTCATGATTTCAACTATTGAAATTACTATAATCTCCACAAAAATCCCTTCAAATGACTAACTATTTACTGTACGGTTCTCAGGTTTTATTGAGATATTCTGTAATTTTGTGTTCAACTACATTCGATCGTCCCCATTCGTGTCCTTGTTCACTACAATACTATTTGATTGTACAGGAATTACTATCATGTTAGTGAAGTGTACATTAGATCAAAAGAGATAATAATCATGTTGGAAAGAGATTTGATCGATCAGGTAATATCATTGATTGTCAAACATAAAAAATACTCAGATCGAAGCCGAGTATGTTAGTCTGTAATTGATAAATGAACTACAGATAAGAATTATTAGTTTTGAATAAAACCAATGATTTAACGGTAAAATAAACAAATTTCTACATCGCATTAGGCCTCGTGTGATCAAGTCGTTATTTATTTTTTCAATAGGAGAAATTATGTTATTTAGTTTGGTTGTCGACTAAGTTGCCTAGACCGGTTGTGTAGGATCAATGGCTTTCTGTTAACCAAATAACAGAATGCCCTTCTTTTGACTAATAAGTCGACGACAGTGACAAAATGGTCAAGATCAATACTTACGCCTACTGGTATAGGATGTAGCTTCCCAATCTCACTTGTCTGACGGCCACAACAGAACATAGCGGGTAGACAAACTTCAACAGTATAGTTGAGTTCATAAATCCAAACTCATTTAATTACCTAATCGCACAGTAGTATAAGTAGAAAAATCCAAAATACATATGATTACACCATTAGCAAAGGAAAATTGAATAATAAGTAACTTAGGGAAGGTATAATATAGAAACAGTTAATGTACCACGAATAGCTTACAAATAGTGGAATACAAATATAAAATAATCCAAGTATTTAGTAATTATACAACTAAAATATAAACAGTAGTTCTTCTTAAGATAGTTTCAAAAATTATTATTTTCTCAGTATACGGCTCCATTACAGTAGCCAATCAATTCTATATAGATTCCAAACAGAAACTGAGTCTCTAAGAGTTCCGTTGTATTTTAATGATTGGTTATCTTGTCTGACTGTTGTATAAATGATGAAAATGTATTAGTTAATATGTGTATCTGGGAATTGTCATACTGTTTAGTTAATAGTACCGGTAAAGTTCTTCGCTTAATTCTGTGGCTAGATTTCAATGCATTTACATTATATACATTTTTCTCGCTCAGAAGAGATTACAGGAATTCATAGGTCTAAATTTCGTCCTAGTTTTCAGTAGTCATGAAAAAACTGGTTACCATCAAGATATGAAAATCGAGAAAATATTCAGTTACTAAAGCACTAAACAATATTATGTTTGCGAATATCCTTAAGATTGATCAAATTCTATAAATCCATTACCATCTATTCATCATCTTTCTATAATTTGTACTTTATTAATACAGTATTTACAGTTTTGTCGACATGGTGAATTGATACGTTCCATGAACTGTTTGAATATATTAGACAGACTGTATCAAATCTTTTAAAGGGGAATAATTTATGGTAACTCAAGATCTATAAAGAAATTCTTATAGAATCTGTTACGAAAACAGATAGACCAAGTGTATTCTTTTCTGATATAGTCAACAATACAATGATGTACATTGTACAATTAATTCTTGATAAGTCTCGTTAATTTGAACACTTTATTCGGTTCCTAAGCTATTCTCGTAACACGCAAGCTAGAACTATGCAGCGACCTGAACTCGAGAGAAAAGGCTCAAAATAAGCGAAAAACACTTTACTCCAAAGGTTCATTTTTGTACAGAAAAACACGAGTATTTATAAATCTTAACATTTGTTAAATCAACATCATATTTTGACCAATCCACTAAAAGACATATTATGCTACTGACCAACAGTAGCACGCTATGCTGATATTCTAGAAAGCTTCATCATGCTCTGATTGGTTAGGACTCTTCGGTTCCTTTAGGGCCTCTGGAGGCTCTGTTGCAGTTCTCAGAAAGCTGACTCAACAATCCAAATTGGCACTGATTACTGTAGAGTATCTACTCAATATTTAAGTTTCTATGGCAAAACTTTAAGCATGATGTTTTCTCTAAAACTAGAAGTAATAATCGATTATCAACAGTTTTCATGTTCACAACGTAACCATGATAATTAGTACAACAATATTGTACCTTTAATCGAACTTTTATTATTTATTTACATTTCGGTGTAGATATGATAGGATCAGTCAATAAACCTAAATATACATGCAACAAATGGACTTGAATAAAACATACAATGAAATGTAATTCTTTAAAAGTTAACAACCAATCAAAAAAAAAAGGAACAAAATATCGATTTTTAATAGGTAACCAATATAAAAGAAACAAGTGACATTGATGTTATTTAGAAAAATAAAAATAAAAAGGAAACAATCACTAAGGTATTTTTTCCTTTAAACCATCTATTTGTATTATTACATCATAGTAATATCATTTTTGATTGATATTCATTTCATTGAAATGAAATATTAGAGAATTATATACAAACAAACAAAACAACAACATGAATATCAAAAAGAAAAAAAACTAAAGTTGAGAAAAAAAGAAAAGAAGAGAAAGAGAAGAGAAGAAAAGAAAAGATACATAAAATGCAATAAACTAACATTTGAAATAAGTAACTAATTCAACTAGAATACTTACTAGTTACGTAATCATCTATCAGTGGAAATAAACAACAACAACAACAACAAAAGTGAAGTAAAGTTCATATGGATAACAACTTTTACATTTTGAAAAAAAAATAGATATCACGTCTACACATACAGATACAGTAAAAAAAAGAGAGAAAAACAAACAACAACACTAAAGTAGTGAAGAACATATAAGTAATGATATTGTAATCAATATACTATTTATTATTCTCCTATAGACAAAAAAAAGGGGGAACAGTTATGAGATGAAAGAAACAATTGGGCAATGAATAGAAAAATTGATTGTTAGTGTAAGAAAAAAGACCCCCACCAACCAACGAACTATTACTAATGTTACTGCTGCGGTTGCTAATAATAATACGAATAGTGGTTTGTTTTTATAAATGTACAATGGATAGTCCTTGTTGTTGTCTACATTCGAAAAAAATGACTATATATATATGTATATAAGGAGATGATATATGAAATCATTTTTCGTTATTAGTATTAGAAAGTTTTTGAATTTCCGGCATAAGTAATGGTTGAATAATTTCAGCATAATATGAACCAAATACATGACGATTATGAGCTAATAATGGTAGAAGACGACTTGCTAAATCGGATAAACTTAATATTTCAAATTTAGAAGTTTTAGAACTATTGATTGATTCTTTATGTGGACTAGAAGGGGAAGAATGAAAAAGTAATCCAGTACTGGTACTACTACCACCTGACATCATTGTTGTCGGGATGTTTAATGGAGGTTTTCGTAAATAACCAACAGAATTAACAGTAGTCCCATTTTCGTTGGTGGAAGAACTGAGTTTATCTTGATCAAGATCAAGTAGAACACTGAAACCTGGAGGTAAAGGTAATGGTTCAGGAGGATAGGATGACAATGCAGAGCGTAGAAAATCCATAGCTCGTTTATCTGAAAGTCAAAAGTTAATTATCATTAAAAAACCCACACAAGTGTTATAATAATTGCTTCTAAACGGTAAGTATTATGAAAATCATAAGATACAATACAGTTATTTTAACGTAGAGGTTAATTACTACGGATACACAGTTTCAGTCAATCAGTAACAACGTAGAACTTCACACGTACGTACATCACTTCGAGTTGCCATACCACATTAGCACACAGATGCAGTAGTCGATTCAAATTCCGTAGTGGTAGAGGTAGTAAGAGTATAAGCAATAATCGGGAAGATTAGGGTTTGAAGATGTTATTTAAAGAGTATAATCCAGTGAAATAAATTTGGGAAGAGGAAAAAGAGACAAGGAGGAATCAGGAGATTAAAATTTGGGAGAACACAAAGAGTGGATGCACCTGCGCCATTGCAAACGACTTTGAGCCATGTCATACACAGTTTAGTTCTTAAGTTAAGCATAAGGACAGAGCTATCACAGTAAGTTTAATTATTATCGCTATATTTTCGTCTTCTCCCTAATTACAGATAATTATCAGTACTCCATATTGGCATTGAAATCGCTCCTTCATACACTATATAATATGACGTTCCTAGTTATTCTAATGCGAAAACAATTATTCCCTACAAATTTCGGTGACGAACTTCTTTTGAAAAAAAAAACAATTTAATCTTATATCACTGTCCATTGAATATTACACTCTTTCATGTATCAACCTGATCATAATTGTAAACCGACAGGAACTCCGATCATAAATTATAAATTTATAAATCGATAATCACCACTTTTCTTTCTAGTATTGATCACAAAATTCAGTGGTAAATTTTTACACACAAAAAGTGGAATGACTACAGTTCATTTGAAGATGATAACACAAATAAAATGATCAATTATTCATTTTATTATAATTAGAGTGGGGTTTTGTGGATATTATTATAGTAATTCAATAGTTGAATTCATGAGTCAATTGAAGTTAAAAACCACTATGGAAAATCTGTAAGTACTGAACAGCCGTTTTGTCCTGAAAAGACCCATACTAGGACGAAAATGGCTATCCAGTGCTTCGAGATTTTCGATGGCGATCTAACTTCAATTAAATCATGAATTCAACGATGAAAAATATTCATTTTATTGTTACCATGGTTGAAATTTAATATATTTATGTACTCTAATGTATAAGTGTGTGTGTGTGTGCACTCAGCTAGTTGCCTATTATCATATGACTTAACTAGTTAATTGATTATGTTACGATTATTATTATTATTATTATTATTATTATTATTATTATTATTAGTAGTAGTAGTAGTAGTAGTAATAATAATAATAATAATAATAATAATAATAATAATAATAATAGTAATAAAAAATGAGAACGGTAGATAATAATGATAGTAGTGGTAATACCTAGAACTATGTACAAAATGATCATTCAATTAATGACAAGTGAAACATAATGATCAGCTGATTCAAGAAATAGAGAATGAAAAGAATAATAAGAATTAAAAGTAGTATATAGAGGAAAAAAGTAGAAATAATTTGCATATACACACATTAAAAAAAATGTTATTTTATAATACTTACACATAAGTTTATAAACAGGATGTTCACTGATAATAACTGAAGTCAATTGTAAGCTTAATTCATTACGTCCATAATCTGTCATAGAAGCAGTTGTACATAATGATTTATGCTCAGTTAATGTTGATAAGTTAGATGATGATGAGGATGATGATGATGTAACTAAATTACAAGATTGTATGCATCGATTATACCATAATTCAATGGTTAATATAACTTGTTCAATTATATCATCAACTAATTGATCAGGTTTACTAAATTCATTATAAGTACAAATGAAAGAAGGAATTAAGTAGTATGAAATAAAATATAATTGAATTATCACATACTTGGTTTCAAGCTATGCTATAAATAGAGAGGGATTTTGTGGAAATTGTAGTAATTTAATAATTGAATTCATGAGTTAATTGAAGTTAGACCATCATGGGAAACCTGGAAGCAATGGACGGTCGTTTCGTTTTATTGTGAGACTCCTCAGAAGTGTGGATCCACCATACTAGGGTGAAATAGCCGTCCAGTGCTTCCACGTTTTCCATGGTGGTTTAGCTTTAGTTAACACATGAACTCAATATGCTATAAATGTAAGGGGACTACTACCGATACAAATCGGATACTGAAACTGAAGTACGTAGAATGGGGCTTGAACCGGTGATATAGTGTTGAATGAAAATCAAATATCATAACCACTAAGTCATTACGCTATACGAAAGAATATTAAGTATGTATGATTTGTTCAACATAAATAAATATATTGACTAAGATCATAAAAACTTTAGAATATATCAGCCCCCAAATGCCCTGGTATGGCCGAGAGTGGGGTGGGCCCACCCTCCCTCTCGAAATGCTCTCACACGGCCACGCGTATGCAGCCTCTGCCAGGGAAGTCCTACTCACTGCCTTCTCGTGGTGGGGGTGTTGTTTACAAAAATGAGAGGCCGAAACGCGAATGTCCGGCGCTTTAACCGGATTCTAAACCAATGGTGCACATGGGCTCCAGTATCCTCAGGGAACAAATGGCGTATGAACCAATCGTTGATCACCGGCTACCACGGAATGGCATCTCCTCACGATGCTCCATTGCCTTGTGGGTCAGACCTTTAGGTCAAAGGCTCTGGGTGTGGCCCCTTAAGATAACCACCTGCTTCGGTCTGGGCACCCGGGCAGTATCACAGCCCACACACACACAAATATGGTGTGGCGCATATATATTTGGTGCCCTCTTGTACCAATATTTATGTGTTATTTGTTTGTTTGTTGTTGTTAGTCATATCATCCTCAAATTACTGTCTCTTTTTATCTCCCTCCACTTTTTCAATGAATGTTTTCATTGTTCAAATTATTCCTGTAAAACCTCAGAAATCAAACCGTTCAAAATTGTTCCCGATTTTGTTGTCTTCAAATCAGCCTAGCGTTGTGATTAGTAAATGAATAGAGCATCAAGTGTTTATTGTATAAATGGTATGGAGGAGAATAAAAATCTTATTTTTGAAATAACGCTCGAAATTCTCCTTTACACCAATCAGAACACTACACTAGATAACCTGCCAGGAATTTAACACAACTGTGATTAAGAGTACGTGAATGACCTGACTACAACGTAGGGATATTTCAACGACAACAATCGACAATAATATATACTAATGACGGGTAGAAAAAAAACACATCTAATATTTGTCATACTATCATCTACTAATCTGACTAGGTAACTAATCAATCAACTATCCTTACATCACATTTAACACTTACTAATTTAAAGAGATTCCATGTAATATTGGTGCAACATCTTGACAAATAGATTTTTTCAACTGTATCATTGCATCATGTGGTAAACTAGTTTCAAGTGGAATTGATAAAATAGGTTTTGTTGCAGTTAATGAAGATAATCCAGTTGTAGTGAATGTTGATACATTCGATGCTATATAATTACATACAACCAGAACAAGAGATGTTAAATTGACAATAATAGTTAATTGATTGCCTAAATCTATAAGGCGATACTGATCCATGAGCATTGTCTGTGTAGAGGAGGAAAAAAGGAAACAATAGAAGGATTGAAAAAAAAGAATTTTTAACTCATATGTTGGTAAGTAATTCCATTTGTACTACATCCTTATATGCAATCTTCCTTTTATATATTACCACTATTAAATTAACTACTTCTATGAATCCAGCGTTCATCTTGCTGTGCTCAGCCAGTCAGTCAGTAACAACGTAGAACTTCACACGTACGTACATCAGTTCGAGTTGCCACACCACGTTAGCACAGAGATGAAGTTGTCCATTCAAATCCCATAGTGATAGAGCTAGTAAAAGTATAAGCAGTAATCAGAAAGATTAGGGTTTGAAGATATCATTCAAGGAGTATAATCCAGTCAAATAAATTTGGAAAGAGGAGAAAAGGGATATGAACAATTCAGAAGATTAGAAATTGGGAGAACACAAAGAGTGGATGCACCTGTGCCATTGCAAACGATTTTGAGCCATGTCATTCAAAGTCTATTATTTTTTTATTTATTTTAACACATAGATATTGGTACAAAGAGGCACCAAATACATATGCGCCACACAAATCTCATTTGATATGTGTGAAGGCTGTGATTCTGCCCGGGTGCCGGATCCCAACCAGGTAGTCTACATCTACCAACATGGCTCAGTCCACTTGTCAGTGACTTCATAGATTTGTGACATGTTTTGATCTGGCCGCCCCTACCTTTTTTCCAACGTACTCCTAGACCATAAATCCTCGCTCGTCGGGGCAGTCGGTGGTTAGGCAAACGTAACACATGTCCCAGCCATCTCAACTGACGAAGTTTCACTACTTCATCAATTGATTTGCCATCCTTACCTAGTACCCGTTTCGTAATGAGATATGACAACTTGAACCGATGTACATATGTGCCTGGTCCTACGTTGTAGCTGACTGAGATTTGTACAGTAGAACTGTTTAGGTAATTCCATTAGTATGGAAATTTAATATAGAAAATTATATATGACAAAGTGATTAGTAGGGTTTCAATTGTACATTTGCTAATTGAATAGCAGTAAATTAGGAAATGTTCAGACAAACTGTATTTGATTAGATGGTTTAATCTAAGTAACTATAAAGAAGAGTTCACTTGAAAGTGACCTTGTAAATTCTACAGTTTATAATATTCTGATCAGATTAGTGAAGTTTAACGATAAATGTATGTAATATTTAACTACTTATAATACTTTGTGATACACTTAACTAGACAGTTCAATCTTCAAAAAGAGCCTATACAGTTTGTGAAAAAAGCTAACATTGTACAAGTCTGCTTTCTGTTTCCAAACTACTGGCTTCCAACAGAGTTTACAGGTTGCACAAAAGCCGTAAGAAGCTAACTTGCTAGGAGCAGGACAGTTTCAGTTCAAGTCGTAGATTTATTTATTAGATTTCCACTCTCCATAGTGTTAGAGCATCACCACAATTATTGTAGGCCAACAACTGTTGTATTGTATTGTACCAGTTTCGCCTCCCATTTGTTGAACACGGCTTTGCTTTAAGATTATCCGTTAAATAAGGTCACTGATAAGAAATCTATTAACATATAAGAGGCTCTGTACACAAGTACAGACAGAGCGAGGACATACATCAATCTCCTTCCATTGTCCTATTACATCAATGGAGTCCCAGTTTCACCAATCCTCTTCAATTTTGCTATGGATGACATTCTGGGAACAGCTTTTAAGGAAGTAGGTAGTATGGATCCATTAACAGGAAAGACTTTTCGACATTTAACATGAAGACGACATTATCTTACTGTGTGATGATACACAACCAATTCAAACTAGTGTCCATAAGTACAAAACAAACTTTGCACTTTCTAAATGCAAAGTAATTTGGTAAGAATAACAGCAATCTGGAGTCGGAAATTCAATACATCTGGAAAAGTGTGTGAATCCAAGTGGTGTGACAGATGAAATCAATTTATGTATGATAGAAATCATAATGGCTTACGGGGATCTGGATCGCTTTTGGCACTATTGTAAAAATTTGAGTTTACAAAAGATCGGCGAGAGCATTTCTGATACATCTGATCTGAAGACGTTCGGAAAATACTTGCACTTGATCGTGGTCTTCGAAGGATTGCTAGGATCTGGTGGTAACGCTATCTTAACAACGCTACGGTTTGACAATGTGTATTTGGGTTCAGTGGTTATAATTCAATCAGTGTCACCATCTTGGAACACAAACTTTCAGGGGCTTGAAATTGTGTTATGAATGTCATAACAGCATTTTCCACATCGCGTATGATTTTTGTTACGCTGAGACTAAATGGAATACGTGGGAGAGTTCAATTGATGGCACGGGATCATGATTCAAAAAATACCTGTCTATGACCGACATCTGTTGATCCATTAAGATTCCTTAGTTGAAGCCGTAGAGATGGTGTATAACTCAGTGGTTCGAGGTGTTACTGGATATGACTTAAAAGAGAATTCAATTGCGATGTTGCTGTATTTTTAGGATCTCAACAAAGGAACTTGCCCTAGGAGCAAATAACTGATAAGGGTTATTTTTCTGTAAGCAAATTTTTTAGGGTATGATATGTAATGTACCCATTGACCTTTGGTATTTAGTTAAAACGAAATCAATTCTAAGATAATTGTGTTATTTACTGAAAATTAAGTATGATAATGTTGAAAAACATACATACACTCAAAATTTACCTCAGGCCAATCACGATCACGTGGCCATGTCAATAACTTCAAGTAGGCTTCACGTAGTATATTATTCGGTGTCAATGGGATAGTATCATTACTTGTGGTAGAACAACTATCTGAAGTGTTTTTAAGATCCACTGGAGTGTTCTTATTATTAGTGCTGATATTACTGGATGCATTGGGGCACTCATGATTAATTGGTTGATGTGATACATGAAGAAGATTATCATGTGCTTGTTTAATCCAATCACGTGTATGAGCTAAGCCATCAATACCAAGTTCTAAGTAGAATAAAAAAAATCGAAGAAATTGGAAATAGTGATAGGAAGGGTCGAGTTATTAGAGTAAAACAAAAATTTAATTCGTGATTTCACTAGAATTCAACAATCATTACGATGCTAGAATAATATTAATCATCATGTGTTCACCAGTGGCTAGCTTTGAGAGGAATTCTCCAAATTTCTATCGAAAGACCGTAACCAGTGAAACTGAACGGCGTTGGGTGTGAGGAAGTTACCCACCGAAGAAAAAAGATGATTGCTCAATATCACGGATTGATAGGAATTAGACATTTACACCATCCGATACTGGGCTTAGTGGTTTAGAGGTTCAGTGCTACCATGTAGGGTCGAAGGTATTCAATTTGATTTCCAGCTGTGAGGTCATGGATTAGTACTGCTGAAGAGTTCCATACTGGGATGAAACAACCACCCACTGCTTCGGAGTTCCAAATGCTTGTCTAACTTAGGTCAGTTCGTGACGTCAATAGAAAATTCTTAGAATTTAAAGTATTACAGTGACACTAGGATAATACTGATAACATAGACAGCCCTATCACACCGTAAAACATTCTATGTACAATAGATAATTTAAGAAAAAAACGCCTATATTTTATTTACTGTATAAAATACGCCCAAATTGGAACTGTCTGATCATTAGTAAACATCAAGAGAATCACACGCATTTCTGCGAAAAACTTGAATGTGAAAAGAGGGAAGAATGAAATCTGTAAGGTGGCTTCTGATTCAAGAAGTGGTAACAAAAAAAGAGTGGATCTCACTGTATATTACATAATTTACATAACTCTGAGAGAGAGGGGGAGAGAGAGTAACCAACGAGAAGACAAATCGTTTATAAGTAACATTTTACGGTATATTTAGGGTTTAAACACCATAATATTATTGCTAAAATGTATTCTCAGATGACCATAAACACTAGAAAACGCTTTAGTAGAAGTGAGAAAATGTATTTCTTATTCAAGAGATTGAATATCCAAGATACATTATTCTTTGATTCAATGCTTTGATTGGTTAAATGTCTGAATTACACATAACACATTGTACTATTATTAGTGAAATTTTTACAAAAGGATGAGATGACTGTGTTTTTTTGGCTTAAATAATAATTATAACTGATCATCCATATCGTACATTCCAATAAGTTCGATAGTGGCTTAATAATACTTAAGACACTTAATTCGTAATTTATTATTAGGTTATTGGTTAGAAATCTACTTTCCACTTAATTGTAAATTACCACAAACAAACACGCTTAGATTGTTTGCTTGAGGACAAGGACAAGATTCTATACTTAATAAATAGATTAAGGATGAATTTTCGGAAGTACTTTTCGTATCTTAGTAAACACTTCACAGTTGATTAGTTACATAATTCTGAACAAAACCAAATGATAAAAAAATACAGTAAATGATCATACTTACATAACCAATATATATAATACAAAGATGGAAAGTGGCTAGCAGTGGAATCCAGTTTGACACGCGTTTCTTCCTATTTCGGACTCGTCAACTGGATGTACCTGCATCTCAAAGTTAATGTTCACTCTGGAACACGAACTCAGTACCGTTCACTTCAAACGCCATCGCATTATCCACTTAGCTACTGAGTTTTGATAGCCACTTGAAGAGACGCGCGTTCTGGATTTTATTGGTAACCACTATTCATCTTTGATTATAATGCTTGTGAATTAAGACAATATCGAGGTAATCTGTACAGTATACACATATGCCAATAAGAGTCAGTCAGCTACAACGTAGGACCAGGGACATATATGCATCGTTCCAAGTTGCCATACCTCATTAACACAACAAGATGGACACCGGATTCATAAAAGTAGTTAATTCACAGGTGGTAATATATAAAAGAAAGATTGCAATAAGGATATATTACAGGAAGAAAAAATTAGTTTGTAGAAAGAAAGACATGAAGCGCTTTTAATCTCTTAGTTTGAGGGAAGACAGAGAGTGTATACACCGACGCCATTGTGACCGATTCTGAGCCATGTCACCAAGAGTCTCCAACCATTGGTTACGATAGTCACGCGGACCCCAACCAAGTAGTCTGCATCTACCAACATGGCTCAGACTGGAGGTTAGTGACTTCAAGCACTGATGCCACGTTTTGGTTTGGCCGCCCCTAACTTTCTTCCAACCATCCCGAACACCGGTCAGCATTGCACGTCGTGGTAATCGGTGTTCGAGCATACGTAACACGTGGCCCGACCATCTCAGTCGATGAAGATTCATAACCTCATCAACTGATTTACCATCATTCCCTAATACCCTGTGTCTAACCTCACTATTACTTACCCGGTGATCCCAGCAGACGCCAGCAATATTTCTAAGGCATCTGTGGTCAAATACTAGTAGCTTACGAGTATCTTCAACTCTTAATGGCCGTGTTTCGCTGCCGTAAATTAAAACAGGACGGATTGCCACGCAGTATACTCGTCCTTTTACTGATAGACGGATATCTCGCCTTGGCCATAGGTGACGTAATTTGGCAAAAGCCAAACGAACTTTTCGAATCTCTACTGAGATTTCATCAGACACCAACCCATTAAGGCTGATTTGCCAATAAGAGAGACTGATCAATTGCAATCCTTAACATCAAATGAGCAGATTCAAACAAACAATACCAAGTGAATATATATAATTTTCATTTACTTTGTTGAGCTTCTAAAAATGTAGCAAATTTTGTTCGTTCATAAGTAACAGCCTGTTGACGAATATATGGTCTCATTTGTTTAATTGTAAAATTAGCCAAATCCATATGCATTTTATCCAGTAGAATAAAGACATTTCTAATTTCCAAAAAAAAGGGAAAATAAACATAAGCACAAATGGAAATAAACTTTAGAACATGTCGACTTTCTCTTCATTAATGACATTGTAGGAAACCCTTTTTTTAGAAAGAACACTTTTGACATTTCATTGGGTAATCTTCTATCATGAGAATTAATTTCTAATTTAAATTACGCAGATAACATAGTCTTGTTTGGTGAAGATGGTAACAGAGTGTAAAATATATGATCCATTTTAAACAACAAAAACAAATGGAAGGATGTTTATGATGTGATTCCTTCCAACAAAATTTGAAATGTTGCTTTAACGCTTAAACTAAGATTGGGATGTGAAGAAGTTAATTGCGTCGATAGCTTCATTCAAAATTTTTATTAGCCTTGATTTAATAGTGTCTGGTAAAATTTCGGTATAGATTAATAAAGCTTGATTGGAGTTTGTTAACTTGTGTCAGTTGTTACGTAGTAATATACATACGTCTATCAACCAAAGGATGAGATTATTGTGTAACAGATTGTTTTGTTCTACTTTATAGCTCCAAAATATGATCAATAAATATACAGGACATTCGTAGGTTACTATTATTAGATCATACGTGCGTTCAAACCATTGCACGTGTTGTTTTGGGACAGCTGAAAGATGCTGAGGTTGGGCATACGGTACTAGGTAAGGATAGTAAATCGGTTAATGAAGTAGTGAACGTTCATCAAATGAGGTGGTTGAGATATGCATTACGCATATCCAACTATCATCTACCTCAACAGGCGATCTTTTCTGGTGTACCGAAAGACTGCAGTTAGTCAGTCAGCTACAACGTATGACCACGCACATATATGCATCGGTCCAAGTTGCCATACCTCTTCAACACAACAAGATGAACACCAAATTCATAGAAGTAATTAAGCCAATGGTGGTAATACAAAACAAATTGCATATAAGGATATAGGACAGAAAGAAAGAATTAGTTCGTAGAATGAAAGATATTAAGCGATTTTAATTTCATAGTTTAATAGAAGACAAAGAGTGTATATACGTACACCATTGTGATCGATTCTGAGCCATCTCACCCATAGTCTCCAACCATTGGTTACGATAGTCACGCGGACCCCAACCAAGTTGTCTGCATCTACCAACATGGCTAAGACTATAAGTTAATGACTTCAAGCACTGATGCCACGTTTTGGGTTGGCTGCCCAATAAACCAGTGTGAGAAATTATGTTTAGGATTTCAAGTTGGACGTTAGGTTTAAGGATTATATTTAATGTTTCCATCATGAACTAACATCAGTTATAATGCCAAAATGGTATTTAGCTAGATGGATTTCGCGCCAAAATCCAACATCTACTATCTCAAATCTGATTGCTTCATCCATAAATTATAATCTCGCCACATTTGTTTTTTATAATTAAAAATAATTTCTATCATATATTGAACTAATACAATTAAACTTAAGATAATGTACATTTAACGTAGATTGATCACTTCAAACTGTTGAGGATGTTAAATATCCAACGGTTCATTCAACAACAAAAAATCAAAAAGCTAAAATAAGAATCTATACCTGATTTGTAGCAATCAGGCGATAGTAGAACAGTAATCTTAAATGATGTCAATAGTAGAAGTGGCAATCTGTTCACGAAGTAGAAACATGATTTATATAAAAAATTTCAAAAAAAAAACAGATGGTGCATATTAAAAGTATCTTTACTAGTATAGGGGTTGTGGAGATTATTAAGTTTTTGATTGAGATCATGGACCGATTGATGTTAGACCATCACAATTGAAAACCTGGAAGCACTGGACGGCCGTTTCGTCCTATTGTGGGACTCCTCAGCAGTGCGCATCCACGATCCCGCGAGCGGGATTCGAACCCAGGGCCTTCGGTCTCGCGCGCGAACGCTTAACCAACTGGACCACTGAGCCGGCATCCAATGGTGACAGTTCTGATGCCGGCTCAGTGGTCCAGTTGGTTAAGCGTTCGCGCGCGAGACCGAAGGCCCTGGGTTCGAATCCCGCTCGCGGGATCGTGGATGCGCACTGCTGAGGAGTCCCACAATAGGACGAAACGGCCGTCCAGTGCTTCCAGGTTTTCAATTGTGATGGTCTAACATCAATCGGTTCATGATCTCAATCAAAAACTTAAAAGTATCTGTTTTATTGATCCCACCAGAGAAGATGATCTACAAGGAATAAGTCAATTAATATATTCACTAGATGCTTGCATATGCGTTAAACTCTAATTATGAGAGCTAATGATACTTCCCGGTCGTCAAAACTGAAGTATGGGGACTTAAATGTCATTTTTATTCATTTGACTTTATATTAAATCAGTGAAATTTTCGTATAGAAGAACCCAGTGACCAATCATAAAGTGTAGATAAGAAACGGATGAGTTCTCTACTGTACCAAGTTCAAACATAACCCACCACACATATAATAATATACTTGTAATACTTGACCACTAATGAACCGAATATGAAATTACACTTAAAACACAATTGTACTATAAGTGGTAGAAGGCGGAGAAAACAGTACATAATTAATTAGCAATAGTACAACATATAACAACTGTCAACAAGCTCATTAAAAACTTTTTATCTGTTTAAACACATAAATATTGGTACAAAGGGGCACCAAATAGATATGGTTTGAGTGTGGGCTTCGATACTTCCCGGGTGCCCAGAGCGAAGGTGGTTTTCCTACAGGGCCACATACGGAGCCTTCGACCTAAAGGTCTGATCCAAAAGGCAGTGGAGCAACGTTAGAAGATGCAGTCCCATGGTAGTCGGTGACCGATAATTGGTTCAGACACCATCTGTTCCCTCAGGATACTGGAGCCCATGTGCACCATTGGTATGGAATCAGAGTTTTCCAACTCCCCTAGGTGGATCCTCCATACCCACCAACCCGATTAAAACGCCAGACACTCGCTTTTCATCCTCTCAATTTCATAGACAACACCCTAACCGCGAGAAAGCAGTGAGTAGAACTTCCCTGGCAGTGGCTGTATATGCGTGGCCATGTGAGAGCGTTTTGAGAGGGAGAGTTAACTCTCTCCACCCTCGGCCGTACTAGGGTATCTGAGGGCTTACAATAAGCAGAATATGAAGATGCAACAATAAAGATATAAATAAGAATAATAATCCGGAAGAGGACGCCAACTGTTTAAACTTTTCTAATATTCATCCAGTTATAATTGACCAATTGTTAATATAATTTAGATCTAAATAGTTTTTATCCAATATTTAAAGTAAATAACATATTAATAATAATGATGATAAAGCTTACTTGAATGCATCAATTGGATCATCGATTTTTCTTAAATCTTCAACTTCTTGATCACGTATTGGAGCACAAAATTGTTTCATTAAATTAATTACTTCATTTTTATAAATTTCTAAACTTAAATAACCAGTTTCTTCTAATTGAGATTTAGCTATATCCATATCCAAAAGATTTTCAATAAGTGTTTTCAATGTTGTTTGATTAGGCAAAACTAAACTTTGTAATGACTAAAACAAGTAATAAAAAATACTAAATAATTTGGATAGGGAAAAGAATTCAAGAGTATTAGAACTAGTAACAGTACCATTAACAGTAGAAATTATGGTAAAATTTCGGGACCCAGGATTTAAGAAATGACAAAGAATTAAAGGATCTGAGCCACTTCAGACGATTCTGAGACATGTCATCCAAATTATCTAACCATTGGTTACGATGATTAGGTAGACTTTAACGAAGCAGTTTTCACCCACCTATATGGACCAGTCAAATTGTCAATGACTTCGTGAAGTGACTCCATATTATGGTTTGTCTGTCTATAGTTTTCTTACAGTCTACCAGTACAGTCGGTTAGTATCAACGTAGAACTTTACACGTACGTACATCAGTTCGAGTTGCCACACCACGTTAGCACAGAGATGAAGTTGTCCATTCAAATCCCATGGTGGTAGAGGTAGTAAAAGTATAGGCAGTAATCAGAAAGATTAGGGTTTGAAGATGTTATTCAAGGAGTATAATCCAATCAAATAAATTTGGAAAGAGGAGAAAAGGGATATGAACAACTCAGAAGATTAGAAATCGGGAGAACACAAAGAGTGGGTGCACCTGCACCATTGCAAACGGTTTTGAGCCATGTCATTCAAAGTCTCTAATCATCGGTTGCTATCGTTTCGCGGATCCCAACCAGATAGTCTACATCTACCAACATGGCTCAGTCCACTTGTCAGTGACTTCATAGATTTGTGACATGTTTTGATCTGGCCGCCCCTACCTTTTTTCCAACGTACTCCTAGACCATAAATCCTCGCTCGTCGGGGCAGTCGGTGGTTAGGTAAACGTAACACATGTCCCAGCCATCTCAACTGATGAAGTTTCATTACTTCATCAATTAATTTGCCATCCTTAACTAGTACCCGTTTCCTAACAACTGCGTTACTTACTCGGTGGTCCCAGGATATACGAGCAATGTTTCGAAGACACCTATGATGGGTTGTCAGCTTAATCGTATATCAGCCTACTTACGAGATATGATGGCTAACATTGGTTGGAAAGAACAGCTTGAAAGGAATTAGGTGCAAGGCTTATAGAAGATATTGTGAGTAGAATTATATTTGAAATAATCTTAGTGATTGAATTTTAAATAACCACAGCGTTTGTTCTGCAAACTGGTCCGAACTGCCTCAGGGCAGTAATCTAAGGAAGCTCGGACCAGGTCCTGTGGATAAGACGTTGCGATTATTTGACTTTCAATCATCAAGATTATTTCAAAGATATTTTTAATCTAATTTAGTTGTATGCTGATTACCGAATAAGGATTTTTGGACACAGAATAGCAAGGGTGGTAAACTGATTGCCAACTTTTATCAACTGAAATGACTGAGACATGGCGCACATGAATTTACCCTCTCATTTTTTCTCAACTCTGAACATACTTTTGATTGTGTACTTTCATTTCTCTCTACTATCAGTAGTATAACTTATACTTCGCCAATTTACCTCCTGTTAATTTCCTTTCGTTTTGATGTGGCAACTAAGAATTGATAGACATATATATGAGGACTTATGTTATGTCCGTCTGTGAAAGCAACTTATAGTTTATGTTTATTAAAATGGGGAATTACATTTAAACACTTTAAGAAAGATACAATCAAGCTCAATTAGTATCTTAATTTCTTCCTCAGTTTATTAGTCAAAACAATTTTATGAGTACACTTTAAGTCGAAAATACAATGTATTAAGTCTATGTCATTTGACTATAGAAACTAAATAATATGTTGAATGATGTCAATCTGCAATTTTATAATAAAACATTGAATATCATTGGTGTTGAAATACATATTGAATTGTAATAATACTAGAAAGTAGATAACCAAATAAATCACATACCTGTTTAACTTCTTCCAGTAAGCGTAAAGCTGGTTCATAGTCTGGAGGATCACAATCTAAACTAGATCGTAAAATATCCCAAAATGCTCTATGCATTGTTTCTTTAATACAATATTCCAAACTTGACAACAACAACAAAAAGCACATTTGTAAAAACTGATAAAAACAAGTATAGTAATATTATAGAATGTTGAAAGCATAACATAGCACTAATTAATCGTGAACTTAGAATAAGAAACATTCTCGGAATATTTATGAAATGTACTTGTATGTTAAAAATATCAGCATGATAAGTAAGAATGTTGTTGCGACAATAAACCTCAAACCTCTGAAATTAAACGTTAAACTACTGAGACTAGAGCTGCACAAGTTCGATTTATTACGTAGGCCTAGAAACGACTAGTTTCTGGTAAATACTTTTTTTAAACAACTCTCTGTCTTCAACTATACAGAGAAAAATGTCTAGAACTTGAACACGTTTTTTACGTATTCATTCTAGATGAACTGAGTTTCTAAATTCTTTGTTATTCTCTTTTAGATTACTCTACTGTTACATTTTAAATCAATAGACCAGGTTGAAGTGGTGCACTATTTTTGTTGTGTCCAAAAGTTAAAACATTAAATTAACCAAGTAAAGTAATGGGCAGGTATTGAAAATATTTAACATACAATAATTGGATCATTGGTTTGAGGACCGCTTCGACTGATTTGGTTTGGTCAGTCGGTCACTAGTACTAGTATTTGTAAAGTTTGATTAACAGCTAAATAGATGAGCCTGAAGTGAATTAACCATATATTACATTGGTCACAAAAACAGAAGATTCAAAAACTCACAATACATTGATGTGCTCTATAGTACAATGGATTAATGTGGTCAGATGGTTGAAACAGGATCTAGGTAGTTTAAAAATTCTTCTGTCATGTGGAGTTTGGATTAGGCTTGATAAAGTTCTTGAATAAAGAGTTGAATGAAAAAATCAAACTTAAATATACTGTTTATATGCTAAAGACCATTTGAGATCGCATACTGTTTCTCCTCATTCTATAGTTAGGTACCATACAACACCTTTGCAACAACAAAAAATACTGAGAAGCGAGTCGTAAAATAATAAGAGTTGCTATATACTGAAGCTTCTAACTATTGAACAAGAATTTAATTATAGAAGAGTTGGTCTATCTGAGGCATTCCCTCTATATTTTAAGCTTAATCTTGAGAAGATTAAAGTGTACGTACTACTTGAGTCTAAAAAAAGACAGCAACAACTCTTTATTAACCATTGATCATCAATAGTTGCTTAACTACCAACTTTCGAGAAGATTATCTTTGAAATGAAACAACTCTCAATAATCAATCATAACACATACCTTTTTTCTTGTGGTTCATATTTTTCCAGTCTAAACTCAGAATCCACAGTTATTTCATGTGCTAAAGACATATTATAGAATGCTTTAGCTGCTTCCGCAAGCTGATTCATTGACACAAACTTTGGAGGTGAAGCTAACATGAAAAGTAATAAGTAATTTCAAGCAGATACTTAAGTGGATTATATGTAGCACTTTAACTATTTAATGAAATATGCCTATCACTCTTCTCTAAACATAAATTAAAAACATGACTTGAAAGTCGGAAACGCACTTCACTTCAAAGTCATACATAATTGAACTAATTGATTTTTTCTTGAATTATAAAACAAAAGTTTATCTTCAATAGATAGATTTTAATAGTTGGTTATTGAGATTTATGAAAAATGACAAAGATTCGTCTTTGGATGACTTTGGAGAGGTTAGATTGAATAATGCAGTTTACGAAAGAAATTATACAACGAGTTTGAAACTGATCGTACTTGCTCCACTACGACCGGTAATGAGATATATTGCAGTCTTCGATCTTCAATTCTGGATACGTGACGAACTCTACCAAGAAAGTATTCAGTTTTACATACAGCTTAGACGGTGACTTCATGAATTAATTTGGACTGAAAAACTAAAAATACTAGCTTCTATTGTACAACTATACGAAATATGCCTAACGAAATTAAAATTAAAGAAACTACCTGTCGATTGGGTTTTGAGTTAATCAAATGATATTACACTGTTTTACATGATCAAAAAGAGCTTATGGCCATATTTGCTGCTAACATTGGGGAACTAGTTCGTACTTTACAAGTTTGAGCACATATGGACATGGTGGGACACAAGATCAGTGTTTATTTTATCGGGTTAACAAATACCTGCTACAGTTGCAACTCTTAGTTCACCACATTGTTATAACTAAAAAGTTACAAAGCCTAATGATGGTAGTTAGTCATTAACAAAGACATGTGATGGAGAAGAATTAGACAATATCATGTTGGAAAATGAATGAGATCTAGGGACGAAAAGAAAATGTTAAACCCTGAGATTTCAAGGAATACAACGAACGAATGCACGTTAGATACTGGGTCTGGTTTTGAACTGTATAACTTTGGATCCTAAATCAAGGGTTACGGTTATTTCACTGTTTACAGTTAACGAAATCTATGAGGCTGGATAAGACCTGAATACAGTAACTTCTATGAGGGTGTTCAGTTGTGATTTGATCGACTCTATTACTTTACAACGAGTCTATTTTAGACAGAATAACAACCCAATCTCTCCCTACTTCACTCAATACGTAGAAAGATGCCTCGTCTGCACCACAAGCCGTCCAATTGGACAAAAACCGGGTATTTCGTATTAATTCAGTGAAGTAACCAGTCACTGAACCTCTGGAAATTTCTCAGACAGCTATGGCTACAAACAAATCCAACCAGTCAAAAAGTAGAGATGGCTCATGGTGATGATAACGACAAAAAGCTGACCGAAAACTTTCTTAGGAACATGTAAACTGACTAACTTTCGAAAGTTGCCCTCTTGATTTTGAGGGCTTCAACAGAAGTGACTTACGAGGTAGCAATGTGTCTTTATCCTTATCATGCCGATTCATTTTCATGGCTATAGAGAATCGCGGAGATTCCAAAGTAGGATTCGCATCAGGTAGAAAGCCCTCATCACATTCGTTGGATGTTTCCGTTTCTTTTTTGTCATCTGAACTCATAATGGGACTACAGTTCATGCACAGCGCGCAAAGTACCCTTCAACAGTAACCTTCAACTGGTTTGCACATCGTTACAAATGGGCATAAAGTTGTGGTAGTACTTATACATACACAAGCCACTGCTGTTATCAAAATAAAGCACTATCTCTGTCGGCCATTCTTCGACTTTATTAGCCACGCCCTGTGATTGAAGATTATAGTAGTGTTACAATATGCTCTTTGGCTATTCTTCATTACGTTAGTTTCGGCGTGGGTTATCAGTGAATAGTATCATCTTTCTCATCAACATGTTGGTGCCACCATATGCAGATGAACCTTCGTTGATTAAGAGAACTCACCTGTGGTTATCTCAGCAGGAGCTTATAAATAACATTCAATTCATAACAATTGTTTTTATCTTGCCACTTGATACACCATTTTGTTCTGAATACTATTTGTTACCGTCTAAATCCACTCAAAAGCAGACACCAGTTTGTAGTATTGATTTTTCGGTACATCATTAGTAACTGTCCGTATAGTTATATCTTGAATAACCTTTTTACTGGGATTCACCACAAAGTGATTAAAGAGGTAACTCGATATTTACTTAAGAATTTAAAATATTATTTCACTCCAGTTACTAATATTTCTATTTTGCTCGTAATATATGCAAACTCTTCCCGATTCTGTAGCTACTCACCTTCGCGTGTCTAATATGTATACAAATCCACAGGACCAAGGTGATAGACGTTAATCGCAATTAAGGCCAAGTGATTAGAAAGTTTATGCCGACCTAAAGTGCACATTTATCGTAATCTCTCTTTGCTTTTCGCCAAAATATAAAGTCATAAAGCTCTTCTTGCAGTTAATCCCAAGTGTTCTTCATAGTCTTTATGTCTACCTTCGATTTTCGGCTCTCTGTGTACTGTTAATCTGCTTACTTTCCTCTCTGCCTTGAGAATTTCACGCTGGGATTTGGCTTGTTATGGAGTTCGATGGTTTTCACAAACTGTCTTCTATCACCAGCGCTTTTCCGCGAAAGTAGAATATGGCTGATGTTCTTTAGTCAATGGATCTGAAGTATCTAGTTTAATTAGGCTTTTGAATACCTATGCTATCTGATAATGCTTTCAGTAGTTCTTAAAGTTTCAGGTCTGTACAGTAGGACTGTTTTAACATTGGTATTTAAAGTTTCAAACCATCTGAGTTATCCACTGTACATCAGGTTTCTCTTTCCATGTGAAGATTATCATGGTCGGGCAGAAACCCGAGAGAAAAGGAAAAGGTGAAAGTTGGCAGCCTTATCTTACACGACTCTATGGTTCAAAAGTTCAACGTCTCCAGAGTAACGTAAGATCCGGAAGTCAGTTATAAAAAGGAGAAACTAAAGATGTAGAAATTGTCTAGTAAGCGAACATTCTTTTCGCGCTGATGTGGAGCACTTGCTCTTCCGGACAATTATGGAGTTAAGAAAGCAGTGGTTTGGCTAACTCACAAGCGTAACTTTCATTACGGCGAAAGAGCTAGAAAGCACTTGAGAAATCATGGAAGATACCTTATACCGGTACCATCTGTTCCGAGCAGAATACTCAGTTGTCTAGTGAAAGGAGAAGTGTAGAAGCGAATAGCCTGCTTTTCCGAGAATTTGTCATTTGTTTTATCATACGTCTGAAGACGCTAAAGCTTATGAGAAATCAAGTCGTTTTATGGTACGAATTTTATCACCCGATTTGTAAAAGTCATCATTTTGTCTACCGTAAAATGTTTAATCGAGACAGTTTTATAGACGTTTTGTCTAGTGATATGACTGCTTAACGTATGGAATTTCAGATTGAATACACACATCTGTCTATTTGTCAAGTCTATCGAAGCGTCCAAATCATCCAATGGAGATCCTTGTAAAACCGAAATTCTTAAGACAACGGTTTATCTAAAATAGCGGTACTTCATTGAATGGCATACAAAAATTAGTTACAAACCTCAACTTGTCAGGTGCCTTTAACGTGTAAAAATTGAACTAAGAACAAGCAACAAGAAAACTGTTGAGTTTAACCAAGGAGTAAGCGACCGAACAAAATCAAGAATATCTGCTACACTGATCGAGATAAAGCAATTATAATGATAAATACAATAAATGTTATAAGTATATGTAAATATTTCAGAATATAACACAAGCTTACGTCACAACATAAGCGTAGAAATTGTTAGGAATACAACTGTTTACTGAATATTAATAAGTAGCATAAAACAATACACAAAAGAGTGGAAGGGTCGTGAATAAGGACGGGATCGTAAAACAGACTTAACACTACCCTGACTTTCCCTGATATGGTTATCCAGCCTCCACAGAACTACTCGAGAAAATGATTTAAGCTTTAAGCTTAAGCACATTATGTTATGGAGAAGAGCCGTTTATTCACCACTGCTAGATGTTACAAGTGAACTGAAGACATTTGGCTGGTTAAAACCTATATATTTTGTATTGTCAATTTGGTTTGGTAAATTGCAAATAGATCGACATAGCGTACTTGGATAACGGGAACGAACAAACACTGGGACGTCACAAAATGTGCTTCAATTTCGGTTCTGTGTTCATACCTTGGATTTGTCTGGACATTTCGGGTCCCATTGGTCGATTTCGTTTGGATTAATTCAAATTTGTTTTGGTAATCGATTCTTTGGAACCAAGACACACAATCGAAATGCGAAGCAAAATGACGAAGGAAAATGTCGAGATGGAAGGTGAAATTTCTAAAGCTGTTTGTGGTATGTCTGATGTTAATGATAATAAACGTGATGATGTTAGTATTAAAAGTATGTCCTCTGGTCAGCTTAGTACTTCTACAATAAAGTTAGGTAAGAAATTACTAAGGAAAAAGAAGTTTGAAAAGAGACTTGAGTTATAAAGACAGCTTAAGATGTCAGATCTCCAAGAAGAGGTTGATATAGCTGAATTAGAATGTAAGGTCATGGAGGGAGCTATCCAAATGCCAGTAGACAAGTGTGAGATAAATGCTAAGGTGGAAAAGTATTTGGATTGTGATACTGGCTATAATAATCATTCAAGGGAGATATTTATCGTCTCAAAGGACGACTGGGTTGATGAGTTGAAGGACACGTTACATACTATGGTTAATAATATGGTTTTACTCAAGACTGATATGATGTATTTTGATGGACAACCGAGTCAGCACCATCGTTTTATTAGTCAGTTTACTGGCATTATCGAGAATAAGCTTTCCGATTAGGGCCAATTGTTGTCGCATTTGTTATACTATTGTAAGGGAAAGGCCAGGACGGCTATTGAAGCTTGTATTTCATTGCCCAGTCATTTGGGTTATGATAGAGCTAAACAAATTTTGCATGATCTCTTTGGTAAGGAACAACTTATTGCTCGCGATCTGATTACTGAGTTACTTAACCACAAATCTGTTGGAGGATCAGCCGATGGCTTAACTGACTTTGCAATTTAGCTACGTAATGTATGCATATTATTGAAGGAAATGGGGTATATGTATGATGTGGATTCTGCGGCTAATTTGGAAATAACTGTGTCATGTTTACTCCTAGAATTGCAAAATAAGTGGGTGGAAGTTGCCGATGATATCATGATGACCGGGAGGGAGTCGATCTTTGAAGAATTTGAGATCTTTGCTCGAACACATTTTGGTAGATTGGTACATTGTAACTCGAAGTTCAGTAAAAGTAATTGCGTAGGCCAAGTTGATAAGAGATCACGTATTAATATATTTAGGCTGGAACCAAGCAACTCATTCACGGCTCTCAGTTGAGAAATTTGATTTGGTGATCACAAAGAGACAGATTGTATGAAGTTATTGAAAATGAATGTTACAGAAAGGATACAGGAATTGAGAAGACATGGTCTATGTTACCTGTATTTAAGGAAGGGTCACATAGCCAAGTCATGCAACTCGGACATTAAGTGTGACGTTGATAATTGCAAGATTCGGCATAATTCTATGCTACATATTGATGGTATTAATAACCATGTGATGAACTTAGTTAAGGATTGAAACTCGTCAAAGCTTTGTTTGGGTATCATTCCGGTCAGACCGTATGATCCGAAGAGAACTTTGGAAACTTGCACCCTTTTAGATAGTGGTTCAAATACTCCTCTCGTATGTGAAGAGTTAATAATTCAGTTGGGTCTCAAAGGTAAGGAGACTTCGATAAAAGTGACGACTGTGAGTGGAACTACTACTTGTGAATGTCTGGAATGAAATTTAGAGACATTTTCATAAGGTGAACAGCATTATGTGAAGATCAACAACGCTTATACGACTAAGAAGTTTCCGATTGATTATGTAGAACCTTTAACCGCGGAATAGCTGGGATCGTGGAAACATTTGAAAGGCATCACTCTTCCGGCGATGCAAAGTGATCTGGTAGGAGTGTTGATTGGGTGTGAAATTCCAGACGCATGCTGGGTTCTGGAACAACGTTTGGGAGACCAGAGACATCTGTTTGGTGTGCGTACGCCTCTCCGTTGAATGGTTTTAGGTCCCAAGAATGCTCAGAGGTCCGTAAATCCAGTACAGCGTTGTCGTTCTCATGATATTTCACCGGATCTAGAAAGATTATATAGTTATGAGTTAGAGGAGGGAGACCATATTGGTAAACATGGTTCACTTGAGTCAAACGTTTCTGTAACAATGGAACTAAGCGAAGAAATGTGCTTGGAAAATTTGCTTAGCAAGCGGCAATACAATGTTAGTGTTGCTGGGTCTCACCGTGAAACTTACGGGAAGGTGGTGGACAAGTCATCTGTTTTTACAAAAGATCTGATATTTATATTGGGTTTATATGATAGCACTACCAAGCGGTGGTTCATATGATTTAATTTGTGACTAATGATCGTGGGAAAAAGAGCTTTATGTTCTGCGAACTCAAATAGTTGCTTGTATGTGAATATGCAATTGTGCCTGAAGCCATGTATTATGGTTATTCATTTTCTAAAAACTAGAAGAGTCTTACAGTGTTATGATTTGGAATCAGAATATAGAGTTCGTGGTCAATAA